ACAAAGATGCCAAAATACTGGAAAAAGAACAGGCTTCTTCAACAAATGGTGCTGGGAAAACTGGATGTTCCCATGTAGAAGACTGAAATTAGATCCCTACCTCTCACCTTGTTTAAAAATCAACTCTGGATTAAAGACCTTAATGTAAGTCAGGATCCTTTGAAACTACTAGAGAGAACACAGGGGCAACTCTTCAAGATCATGGCAAAAGCAATGATTTCCAAGTGAGGACTCCAACAGCTCAGGAAATCAGAATGAGAATGAACAAACAGGATTACATCAAATTAAAATCTTCTGCACAGCTAAGAATACAATCAGCAGAGTGAAGAGAAAACAAAGATACTGGAGACAGTCTTTTCCAGCTACTTGTCTGAAAGAAGATGAATACAGCAAAAACATGACAACCCCCAGAATCAAGTCATATAATAAAAACGGACCAATGACCTGAATAGACACTTCTCAAAAGAAGAAATGCATATTGCCAATAGATATAAGTGAAAATGCTCAACATCTTTAGCCATCACAGATGCATATCAAAGCTACAAGGAGATTATGTCTTACCTGGTTGGGTAAGATGGTTATTCCAGTTGGAACAGTTATTATAAAAAAAAAAAGTAACAAACACTAGTGAGGATGTGGAGTAAACAGAACCATATATGATGTTGATAAGAAGGTAAACTAGTACAACATCAATAGAAAATAGTATGGTTGTTCCTCAGAAAATTAAAATAGAACTACCATATGACCCAGCTATACCACTGCTGGGTATTTTTTTAAAGGAAATGAAATCAGAAATAAAAAAGACACTTGAATGACCATGTTTGTTGCAAGATTATTCACAAATGGTAAGATATTATGGACTCAACTGAGGTCCCCATCAACAGAAAGCAAATATCACACACACACACACACACACATACACACGATGGAGTATTATTCAGTCAAATAAAAATGAAATCCTGCTGTTTGCAGAAAAACAGAATTGAGTCTTGTTAAATTAAATAATTCAGACACAGTGAGGCAAGTATTGCATATTTTCTCTCATATGTGGAAACTAAAAACCAAAAAAAAGATATCTGGAAAGAAGGACCATCCCAGGCCCAGAATCAGGTAGCAGGGAGAGTGTAACAAGGGTGGAAAGGAAGGTCAATGTGTGACATATCCATGAAAGGAAATGACTCAATGAGACACATTAATTTATACAACAAATATGATAATAACAAGCTCTCTCTCTCTCTCTCTCTCTCTCTAATACACACACACACACACACACACACACTCACATGCCTACATGAAAAAGAGGAGACAAAGGACCATGTGAGGACATAGAAAGATGGTGGCATACAAAATCCAGGGAGAAAATTCTCAGAAGAAAACATCCTAATGACATCTACTGCAGAATGGGACTTTATATGGCAATAGGGCCTTTAAAGAAGTAATGAAGGTAAACTAAGGTCCATATGCTTGACTATAATCCATTCCGACTGGTGATATTTAAAAAGAAGAAAGTCTGTGTAAAGGAATGGAGTGCCAAACAAGACTGCTATACCCAGCAGGGTTAGTCTTCAAGAAAGAGATAAAGACCTTGAATCAGAATAAATTAAGGGAATGCATGACCACCCGGCATCACTGAAGATAATTGTTATGATTTGGAATCAGAATGTTTCCAAAAGGCGTATACTCTGATTGCTTGATCTCCAATGCAATGCAATAATACTCAGAGGTGGGGCTTTTGGAAAATGATTGAATCATGAGGACTCTGACCTCCTAAGTGGATTATCCATTGATTGATTCATAATATGAATGGATTAGTGGGAGGTGGTCGAAACTGTAGAAAGTGGGATCTAGTTGAAAGGAGTGAGTCTGTGGGGACAGGTCCTTGGGGACTATATCATGTCACCAGCCCCTTCTTGTGCTTCTCTCTGCTTCTGCTGCCAGGAGGTGAGCAACTTTCCTCTGCCAAGCCCATCTGCCATGATGCAAGCATTTGAGCCTCACCTTAGGCCCAAATAATGAAGCCAGCCAACTAAAGAATTAAACCTCTGTAACCATGAGGCAAAATAAATCTTTCTCAGGTATTCTGTCATAGTGATGAAAAGCTAAGGTCAATACACACTGCAACCAATTATCAATAACACAAAAGGGAATACTACACCCAGAAGAGGAAGAAAGATCAAATCATCAGCAAATGTGAAAAAATAAATCCTGCTAGAGGCGTACACATGCAAATGAGAAATAGTAAAGAATCATACATCATCAATATAGTAAACCATCAAACTTCTAAGATGAGTTAAAAAAAATAAAGAAAAAAAACATGGAATATTCAAAACCACCAGAATATTCAAAACCACCAGAATATTCAAAACCATCAGAAAAGCAAATGACAGGAACAAGAACATACCTTTCGATAATCACCCTGAATATAAATGTTCCATATTTTCCATATAAAAGATGCAGACTGGCTGAATTGATTAATAATTAAGACCTAACAATATGCTGCCTACAAAAAACTTACCTCATGTGCAAAGACATACATACAGTGATAGTGAAAGGATGGAAAATGATGTTCCAAGTAAAGGGAATCCAAAAGCGAAAAAAGAGTAGCTACCTTTATAACTGACAAAACAGACTTTTAAAACAAAATCAGAAGAGAAAAGAGGTCACTATGTATTGATCAAGAGAGTGATTCATCACAAAGATATAATATTATAAATGCATAAGCAATAAGTCTTGGAGCACCCAATTTTAAAAAACAAACATAATTAGAGATAAATGGAAAGACAGGCCACAATAAACACATCATTCAAACAATAAACAACAACAACGAAGAAACAACAGATTTACATTAGTACTATAGATCGAATGGACTTAACATCTACAAAATATTCCATCCAACAGTTGCAAAATACACAGTATTTTCTTCAGCACAAAAAATGTTTTCCAAAACATACCATATATTAGACAATGAAGTAATTACTAACAAAATTTTTAAATGAAATAATTTCTTGTATTTTATCTGATTACAATGAAAAGAAGGTAGAAATAACTGCAGAAATTACACAAACACATGGAGCTTGAACAACACACTATGAAATGAACAAGGAACACTTTCTTTCAGGTCATGGAAGAAATAAGGGGAGGAATTTTAAATTCTTTTTTGGAGGGGGGCATTTTGGGGTTTGAATTTAGGGGCACTAGACCACTGAGCCACATCCCCAGACCTATTTTGTACTTTATTTAAAGAGAGGGTCTCACTGCGTTGCTTAGTACCTCGCTTTTGCTGAGGCTGGCTTTGTATTTGCAATCCTCCTGCCTCAGCCTTCCCAAGCCACTGGGATTACAGGTGTGCCCCACTGTGCCCAGCTTAAAATTTCTTGAATCAACCAAAATGGAACCACAACATACCAGAACAGGGAAAGCAGTGCTGAGAGGCATTTATAGTGATGAATGACTACATAAAACAAAAGAATCCAAATCAATAACATGATGATTCATCATAATGTCTTACAAAAAACAAGAACAAACCAAATCCAAAATCCATGGAAGGAAATAAATAGTAAAGATCAGAGAAGAAATAAATGAATTAGAGAATAAAAAAATAATATAAAACATCAATGAAACAAAGAGTTGGTTCTTTGATACAATAATATTGACAAACCCTTAGCTAAACTGACAAAAACAAAAAGAGAGAAGGCCCAAATAAATAAAATCAGACTTAAAAAGGGGTCTGAAGCCAGATACAGTGAAATTCAAAGGATCATTAGGGGAACTTTTGAAATATTCTATGTCTAATAAATTAGAAAATCTAGAAGAAATGGAGAAATTCCAGACACATATGATTTAACAAAATTGAATCAAAAGGATATAAAATATCTAAATATATCAATGACAAATATTAAGATGGAAGCAGTAATAAAAAGTTTTCTAATTAAGGACTAGGGCTATAGCTCAGTTGATAGAGTGCATACTTTGCATGCAAAAAGACCTAGCACCACAGAAATACTCAGCACCACACACACACACACACACACAAACAAACAATTTTTGATTAAAAGGGAAAAAAGACCATCCTAGAACCAGATGGAGTCATTGCTGAATTTTACCAAAATTTTAAAGAACTAACACCAATGTCGCTCAAACTAATTCATAAAACAGGGAAAGAAAGTTTCAAACTCATTCTATGAAGCCAGTATTACTCAGCTAACAAAACCTGTAAAGGACACAACAGAAAAAAAAAAAACAGTATATTCCAATATCTCTGAGAAAAGATATATGAAAACATTTGATAAAATGCTTTCAGATTTAATTTAATAGCACATTAAAAAGACAACACACCATGATCAACTTTGTTACATTTCAAGGATGCAAGAATGGTTCAACAAATACAAATCAATAAATGTAATAAGCATATAAATAAACTCAAAGGTAAAAATCATACAATTATCTCAATAGATGCAAAAAAGTGCTTTGATAGCATTCAGCGTCTCAGCCAGGCATGGTGGTACATACCTGTGATCCCAGGGCTCCGAAGGTGCAGGAAGATGATCGCGAATTCACACCAGCCTCAGCAAAAGCAAGGCCCTAAACGACTCGGTGAGGAGGCGGGCACGGGAAAAGGCGGCTCTGGCTGGGGCGGCTCGCCTTCCTGCGGCTATATGGCTGGGTTCGTCCGCTCGCGGTCTTCCTTGGCTGTCCTCGCCGCGTCCCATCGCGGAGTTTCTGCCCGGGAGGGGCTGTCCTCCCGTCCGCCGAGCTCCCTCGACGGCAGAGCTCACTCGCTCGCCTGTGGGAGCGTCCCGGCGGAGCAGCCCTGAGGCGGGAGGGAGGCCATTCTGTCCCGACCGACTCCCCGGCACCGGGCGGAGCGGCTGGGAGAGGCTGCGGAGCTGCGGTCGCCGCCCTACGCCGCCACCGTCGAGGCTTTCTTGAGGAGCTGTTCCTTGGTCGCCCGCATCCGCTCGAGCCCTCCTTTTTTTCCCACGCTTCCCCGGTCCTCCGGCCCCAGAACGCCCGGGTGAGGAGTTGGCCGTGGAGAGAAGGACCGATCCCTGGGGGCCGCCGGCGGCGAGAGCCCGAGCCGCTCCTCCCAAGGGCGAAGAAGACGTGCGACCTGCTTTTCCAGCTGCTCCTGATCGGGGACTCGGAGTGGGGAAGACCTGCGTCCTTTTCCGTTTTCCAGATGATGCCTTCAATACCACCTTTATTTCCACTATAGGAATAGACTGTAAGATCAAAACAGTTGAACTACAAGGAAAGAAGATCAAGCTACAGATGTGGGATACAGCAGGCCAGGAGCGATTTCACACCATCACAACCTCCTACTACAGAGGAGCAATGGGCACCGTGCTAGTATATGACATCACCAATGGTAAAACTTTTGAAAACATCAGCAAATGGCTTAGAAACATAGATGAGCACGCCAATGAAGATGTGGAAAGAATGTTACTAGGAAACAAATGTGATATGGACGATGAAAGAGTTGTACCTAAAGGCAAAGGAGAACAGATTGCAAGGGAGCATGGTATTAGATTTTTTGAGACTAGTGCAAAAGCAAATATAAACATTGAAAAGGCGTTCCTCACATTAGCTGAAGATATCCTTCGAAAGACCCCGGTAAAAGAGCCCAACAGTGAAAATGTAGATATCAGCAGTGGAGGAGGTGTGACAGGCTGGAAGAGCAAATGTTGCTGAGCGTTCTCCTGTTCTACCCGTTGCCATCCACCACCCGTTTCTCTTCTTGCTGCAAAATAAACCACTCTGTCCATTTTTAACTCTGTTAAACAGATATTTTTGTTCTCATCATTATAACTATCCAAACCACCTATTTTATTTGTTCTTTCATCTGTGACTGCTTGCTGACTTTATTATAATTTTCTTTAAACAAAAAAATGTATAGAAAGATCATGTCTGTGACTTCATTTTTAAATCACTGCATTTCAGTTGTATTATAGTCCAGTTCTTATCAACATTAAAACCTATAGCAATCATTTCAACTCTATTCTACAAATTGTGTAAGAATAAAAGTTAGAATTAACAATTTAAAAAAAAAAAAACAACTCAGTGAGACCCTGTCTCTAAATAAAATACAAAATAGAGCTGGGGATGTGGCTCAGTGGTGGAGTGCCCTGCGTTCAATCCCCAGCAACAACAAAAACAATAACAACAACAACAACAAACAGCATCTCTTTATGATGAAAACCCCGAATAAATTACATACAGTAATGTAAACTACATGTCTCAACACAGGGAAGGCTATACCTCATATTAAACTGAAAAAAGTTGAAAGCAGGAACAAGACAAAGATGCCCACTCTCACCACCCTAACTCAACATAGTACCAGAAATTTTAGCCAGAGAAATTAGGTAAGAGGAAGTGAATACGAAAAAAGACCCAGAATAGCTAAAGCAAGTTAGAGCTAAACCAGCCCTGATAGAAGCACCACAATACCAGATTTCAAATTATACCTGGGAGTCACAGTAACAAAAATAGTATAGTATTGGCCTAGAAAGAGACAGGTAGACTAATAGAACAAAACAGAGAAGCCAGAAATAAATACACACTGCAACCAGTTATCAACAAAGATGCCAAAATATTGGAGAAAGAACAGCCTTCTTCAACAAATGGTGCTGGGAAAACTGGATGTTCCCCTGCAGAAAATGGAAACTAGATCCCTGTCTCTCACCCTGTACAAAAATCAACTCAGTATACCTTAATGTAAGATAGGATCCTTTCAAACTACTAGAGAGAACACAGGGGAAACTCTTCAAGATCACGGCAAAAGCAATGATTTCCAAGTGAGGACTCCAACGGCTCAGGAAATCAGAGGGAGAATGAACAAGTAGGACTGCATGGAATGAAAGAATACAATCAGCAGAGTGAAGAGGAAACAAAGAGAATGGGTGACAGTCTTTGCCAGCTATCTGTCTGACAGAAGATGAATACCCAGAATATAGAAAAAAGTTGACAACCAGAAAGCAAGCAATGATATTTTAAAAAATCGACAAATGACCTGAATAGACACTTCTCAAAAGAAGAAATGCAAATTGACAATAAATATATGTGAAAGTGCTCAACATCTTTAGCCATCTCAGATGCAAATCGAACCTACAAGGAGATCATTCCAGTTGGAACAGTTATTATTTTAAAGAAAGTAACAAACAAACACTGGTAATGATGTTGGGGAAATGGAACCATATACAATGTTGGTAAGAAATTACAACATCTACAGAAAACAGTATGGATGTTCCTCAGAAAATTAATATAGAACTACTGTATGACCCAGCTATACCACTGCTGGGTATTCATTCAAAGGAAATGAAATCAGCAAATAAAAAAAGACAGCTGAATGACCATGTTTATTCTGACATTATTCACAATAAATAATATATAGACTCAACCAAGGTGCCCGTCAACAGATGCATGAATATAGCAAATATAGTGTGTGTGTGTGTGTGTGTGTATATATATATATATATATATATATATATATATATATATATGAGCATTATTCAAAGAAAAATGAAATTCTGTCATTTACAGGAAAATGGATAGAATTAGATCTTTTTTTAAAAAAAAATTTACCTCGGTCTATACCCAAAGGACTTAAAAACAGCATACTACAGGGACACAGTCACATCAATGTTTATAGCACCACAATTCACAATAGCTAATCTGTAGAGCCAACCTAGATGCTCTTCAATAGATTAATGGATAAAAAAAGGTGACATATATACACAATGGAATATTATTCAGCAATAAAAGATAATAAAATCATGGCATTTGCATGTAAATGGATGGAGTTAGAGAAGATAATGCTAAGGGAAGTTAGCCAATCCCAAAAAAACAAATGCCAAATGTTTTCTTTGATATAAGGAGGCTGGCTCATAGTGGATAGGGAGAGGGAGCATGGGAGGAATAGATGAACTCTAGATAGGGCGGAGGGGTGGGAGGGGAAGGGAGGGGGCAGGGGGTAATTAATGATGGTTGAATGTGATGATCATTATTATCCAAAGTACTTGTATGCAGACATGAATTGGTGTGAATATACTATGTATACAACCAGAGATGTGAAAAATTGCACTCTATATGTGTAATAAGAATTGTAATGCATTCCGTTGTTATATATAAATAAAAATAATAAAATTTTAAAAATCAATTTTTTTAAACTTTTATTTATTTATTTATTATTATGTGGTGCTGAGAAACTGAACCCACTGCTTCACACATGCTAGGCAAGTGCTCTACCACTGAGCCACAATCGCAGCCCCCTAGAATTAGATCTTGTCAAATGAAATAATTCAGACACAGGCAAGTATTGCATGCTTTCTCTCATATGTGGAAGCTAAAAAACAAAAAAGATATCCAGAAAGAAGGACTATTAGGAACCAGGAAGCAGGTATCAGGTATAGGGGAGGGGAACCAAGGGTAGAAAGGAAGGTAAATGTATGATACATGCATGTATGGAAATGGCATAAGAAATCTATTAATTTATACAACTAATATGTGATTATACACACACACACACACACACACACACACGAAAAGGGGAAGATTAGGACAAAGACACACAAGAGGGAGGACTATGTGAGGACAAAGGGAGAAAATGGCATCACAATCCAGGGAGAGAATTTCTAGAAGAAAACATCCTAATGACATCTAGATCTCAGCCTCACAACCTCCAGAATTCTGAGACAATAAACTTCTATTGTTCAAGCGACTCCATCATGGCACCTTGTTATGGCAGCCCAAGCTGACTACTAACACCCCTTTCTGCAGAGAGGAAGAGAAGGTGGACTCTGCGTTCCCCCAAGGAAGACGGGGCCTTGCATGAGTCTTTCCCTGTGTCCAGCAGCACCTGACACCATTCTCATTATTTTACTGCTTTTGAAGACATAACAGCTCTAACAATTTGAAAGCTGAATGCCAGAATGGGTACAGATGGGCCAGGTACAGAGTGAAGAAAACTCAAGGGATGCCAAGAAGTAGTAGTCAAATTGGATGTACAAATTGGATGTACAAATTTTCAAAATCCAAATTAACACAAAAACTCTATGATGAACTCCAAAATGTCAAATTAAATAAGAGCAGGATCCACTAGATGATATTCAAAAACTTAACCACAAAAATATCCCAGACTGCAGCCAATAAGAACGGACCCCTGTCCACGAGGCTGGAGTTGATCAGAGGGCTCAGCTGACAGGAAAATAGGGAGGTATAGACAGTGTCAGAGGAGAGGCAGGGTCAGGCAGGCAGCGGGGGGCCATTCAGGACTCTTCACCAATCAGTATGGAAGCGTTTCAATATTTTAATAAACCTCACGGCCACATTGGTTTGAGCCATGGAACACCAGCCTGTGAGTACAGGTGGAATCAGTCACTGCAGAGCACTCGGACGTAGGTGATGTTTATGTCTGAATCAACAGCAGGTCCAGGATAAATAAGGCACCCTTGGGAGCTGGGGATATAGCTCAGCTGGTAGAGTGCTTGCCTTAGATGCACACAGGCCCTGGGTTCAATCCCCACCTCTGCCACAGAAAAAAAGAAAAAAGCATAAGGCATCCTTGAGGCCAAGCCCACATGATATTTGCCTTTACATTCTCACAGTAGGGCTCAGTGCCTTGCCTTCTGGGGTGCTCAATAATTGCTGGTGCTCTAAATGAACTAAAGAAAGCACTTTATCTCTAAGTAACTTGAACATTCTAGAAAAGAACTATTTTCTGAATGGAAATGGTCTTTCATGAGCCATTTTTACAATTGGCTGAAAGGCAAGTGCTTTCTCAGGGACTGTGTGTTGTCCTGCCAAGGTTCATAGGAAAAGAAAGAAGGCTGTATTCAAATTTTAAGCCAGAATCCCCCCACATTGGAACACACAGCACACACGGAGGGGTTGAGGAAGGGCTTCTGAGGCAGGGACAGCTCACAGAGGTGTGGGCAAGGATGAGGAGTCCATTGATGGACGAGGCTGCACACCCAGATGAGAGTGACAGGGATAGGCATGCTCCTGGAAGCATGAGGCTTGAGGCTGCCACGGAAAAACTGCTGCCACCTCAGCTGTGGGCTCAGAACCCAGCCCCTGCCAGGGCTGTCTCCAAGCAGGACCACAGAGGTCAGGGAATGAGCGCCCTGGCCTCTTTCCCCTCCAGCCCTCCTCTCCCCAGAAGTGTCTCCCATTGGGTGAAGGTGAACCACTGCCAGAGGTCCAGGGAGCTCTTTGATCCACTGCACGCTGTCTGCACCACCAGGCATCTCCAGCAGGTGTCATTCACACTGTGAGATGGTGATCGCTGGCACAGTGGAGTGGCCAGAGAAGTCCGTCCAGGTACATGCAGCTGGATGCCAGGAAAAGACTCAAGGAAGGTGGAAAAATCACTTAACTTGATGTCTAAGGTTCAGCCATCACAAATGAAGAATTACATGGGGGCTTAGCACATCCTCACTGACTCATCAATAGACAAGAGCTGGTGGCAGGGCCTGGGAATTAGAAACCTGCATAAAGTGGAACTCGGCAGTTTCAAAATATCCTCTTTTCAAGAACATGCCATGGGCTATCTGGATTACTGTGTTTGTATTCTTTTTATTATTATAACTTTTAAGCATAACAGATACTTTAGAGCTGATAAAATACTTGCTAATGAAGACTTTATATTCAAATTCTGGAAGGCTTCATATACAGTAGTTTGATAGTAGGAAAACATGTCGTCTGATACCATGCAGTCTCCTGACTTAGTGTAACATAAAAATGCAAGTCTGTCATTAAAAAGCATTGCAGAGTTGAGAAAGTAG